AACTCGAAAGAAAAATTGATACAAAAGAAAATTGAAAAGAAATCGAATCATAAGGAAAAATTAGAATCAGTCTTTTTTTACTATCAATATACTTTACAACAAGCAATGATAAACTTTGAATACAATGTCAGAAATCGTTAACTACGTCTAATGAAAATGCGATGCACAAGTTTAAATCAACAAAGTTCGATTCTACATTCAAAAGTTAGAAATGAAATATTCGCTTCATACGATCACACTATGAACTAACAACGAGTAAATTTAAAATATAAAACAAATCATTCATTATGACCATCTTTCAAAACCATTCGATTTATCTTTGTGCAACAAAATTTGCGAATTATGAAAAATATAATCAGACTACGGACCTGCATTCTTATATAATCATACTTGTTTGTCTTTGCCCTTCATATCTTTTCTATGATTTTATATTTATCATTCTTATTTTTATTTTATTCTCCTATTGTATAGGTGCAATTGACTGTTGATAAATCCATCTGTCTGTCATGCACTCTCTCACATCTCAAAATATCGTAGTGACTTCAAGAATTATTCTCGTTCTGCTACTTACTATTCAGTTGCTAAGCTGTGGATCACTATCAGTTATATTGCTAATGTAGAATCCTATTTTCGTAGTATGACCGTCTCAAATGTATACAAATATTTTTTCTAAAAATATATAACCTACTTAGTGATGAGTAAGTGAAACAGATACTACCATCGAGTGGCAGCCTCAGCCACCTACTGTTAGCAAGACTTGTCAATAGTGAAAACAATTTATACTTTGGATGTTGTTTTGAATACTATGACCTTGCTTATACTTTGAACTTTTGTGATATAGAGCTCAATGAGTTGTAACATCCATTTTTGAGTTTTCGATGAGTGCTTGTACGAAACATTTGCTTGATCGAAGTTTTACGTTGGTATGCATGAAAAGTTGCATTGCTCGGGAACGATCACATGAATGATGGACTATTGGTGGTATTACATCTTGCTTGATGAGAGCATATCTATAAAAATGTTTGGTAGATCGTAAAAAATATACATACAATTGAGTTCGCCCTTCCTGCAGATTGTTTACTAGCATTGTTCATATATGAAACAGAGCTGTTGCTATCAACATTAAAATGAATTCTAATAATTATATATTCTTATGAACTCATGAAAATAGTGTTTGTTCGTCAAAGACTATTCGCTGATTGATATTTAACTGATTTTCCATAGTTCATCTCTAGTTTGTAACAGTACATATGCTCTCAACAAAAGGAAGAATTTTTAATTTCTTATGAAATGCTATTGCTCATCGAAGTTTGAGATTATATGTTTCTTTTTTCATATCCTTCATTAAAATTTCATTTGATCAACGCTTAAGTTATTCTTCGTAGGAGTTATCTGCACAGACTACTTGATTGAAAATCGTATTATGTTATGAATAATATATTTTGAAAAGCACCTTTAAAAGCAATTTCTAAACTAATTGCTTCGTTGTCAGTCAATATTAATCTTGTTAACCATTATCAAAAAAGCTCAATTTTCAATCCAGTATTTTTCTTAAAAATTTCAATGACATTTTGTTGAGCTTCTTCTTCGATGTTATTCGATTTGAGGATGAGTTTGGTGAGTGTCTGTGTGTGAAAAGTGAAAATGAAGATGTGAGAGATGAGTAAACAAAGCAATTTACCGTATTATTTTGCACAGTATTAGCTAGATATTGGATTCCTTCCTCTTCGATTCGATTGCCTTGAAGGTCGAGTTCTCTGAGTCCCTGTATGGAAAAATAAAAATGAAATTGAAAATAATGAACAAAGAAAGAAATTCACCGTATTCTTTCGTAAAGCATTAGCTAGGTATTGAACTCCTTCATTCTCAATTCCATTATACATGAGGTCGAGTTTAGTAAGTGTCTATATGAAGAAGTACATAAAGTAATAAGAAAGACGAAGATCAAAATAAAATCACCCTGTTTTTGTGCAAACCATTTGCCAAATATTGAGCCCCTATGTCTTCAATTCGATTCCAGCCAAGTTCGAGTGTGGCAAGTGTCTTTTCGAAGAAGTATCGATAGAAATTAGAGATATTAAGAGAAAAAGAAGATTACTGTATTATCTCGTAGAGCATTAGCCAATTGTCGGCACACATTGGCTGTCATTTCATTGCTTGCGAGATTTAGTGTGGTAAGTGTCTGTATGAAGAAGTATCGATGAAAATGGGAGAGATTAAGAGAGATAGAAATTCACCGTATTATATCCTAAAGCAACAATGAGAGATTGAACTCCTTTGTCTCCTAGTTTATTGAATCCAAGGCTAAGTGTAGTAAGTGTCTAATTGAATAAGTAAAGATGAACATGATTGTGATGTGTTAAGAAAAAGATAGATTTACCATGTTATATCGTAGAGCATAAGCCAGATATTGAGCTCCTTCTTCTCCGATTTCGGTAGAATCAAGCTGAAGAGTATCTAATGCCTATCCAATGGAGTGCAGAAAGAAATGAAAAGGATAACTAGACATGGAAGCTCACCATGCTATTTTGTAAAGCATCAGCTAGATGCCAGATACCTTGGTCTCCGATTTTATTGTCATGGAGTTCGATTGTCATGAGTGTCTAGATGGAAAAGTGAAGAGGGAATCAGAGAGTTGAAGAGCAAAAGAAGTTCACCTTATTCTTACGTAAAGCATCAGATAAATATTGAACTCCTTTCTCTCCGATTTGATTGTTAGAAATACCAAGCGTGATGAGTCTCTATGTCAAGAAGTGAGAATGAAAATCAAGAAAATGAAGAAGGTAAAAGGTTTACTCTGTTATATCGTACAGCACTAGACAGATGTTGAACTCCTTCATCTCCTATTTCATTAGCTCGAATGTAGAGTTCTCTAAGACCCTGTATGAAAAAATGAGAATGGGCATAACAAGAATAAAAAGGACAAAAGAAGTTCACCATGTTATGTCGTAAAGCATCTGCCAGATATTCTGTTCCTTCCTCTCCAATTTTATTCAATCCGAGATCAATCAAAGTGAGTGTCTGTAAAAATAATGAAGATAGAAATGAAAAAGATCAAGTGAGAACGAAATTCACTGTGTTTGACCGTAAACCATTAGCAAGATGTTTGGCTCCTTCGACTCCAATTGCATTGTTGAAAAGCCGAAGTGTGGTAAGTGTCTGTATGAAAAATGTATACAAATATAGGATAAGTGAATAGAATAAAATTTCACCGCGTTATTTCGTAAAAAATTGCCCAAATATTTGGCCACTTCGTCCCCAATACCAGCGGTGCTGAGATTAATTGTGGTGAGTGTCTATGTAGAGAAATGATGATGATAATATGCATGCTGATGAGAAAAAGAAGTTCACTGTGTTATTTTCCAAAGCATCAGCCAGAAGTTTCATTCCTTTGCTGCCGATTGAATTAGCTACGGGTTCAAGAGTTGTAAGTATCTATGTGAAAAAGAGAAAATAGAAAAAGGAAATATGAAAAGATATAATGTAATTGTACGAAGAGATGAAGAAACCGGGATTGATAGAATCTTCCATTTAGAGGTGTGAGACCTCATTTCTGAACGTTCTGTTGCTAAGGAACGAGAATGCATCACAAACTGCTTTTTCTAGCATTGTTTTGATATACACAAAGGTGTTCATGCAACTTTGCTCATCGTTTTATGTGAAAATGTTATGTATTTCAGATTACGCGGAATGAGACACGAAAGTGACCACTTTACGATAAATGAGGTGATCCTAAAATAACATATAAGGAGAAAGACACTGGACAAAAAACCTACTCTCGCTGATCGTAGGTAACGCAAACTTTATGCTGACCAAACATTTGAGTCTGTGCTTACCAATCATCAGTGCAAAATCAATTTTAGAGCAAAATTGGTAATATGAGACTTTACACTGATCTCGGGTGTTCGATCGAATATCATATCTACGAGAACTTAAGTCCACTTTTGCTAATGAATGGAAGATTACACATATATAATGTTGTCTTCTTCTTACCAGAACGCTAAAGTCTTGCATGTAATAAACTGGGTTTCCTCTGGAGCTTATTTATATCTGAGTGTTTAGGAAGAAAGAAAATACCGAGTGGGAAACTTTCCAAGACATACAAGCTAAACTATTTGACAATTGCAGAACAAAATTTATTGTTTTGACTCATATTGAAATTGTCTGAAACTGATGCATCCAACTGGATGCATGCGATTCAAATGATGAGCATTAGTTGCATGCACTTCTCTAATAGAGACAAAACTTATCTGTCATGTGGCACAATAGCCCAGCGCATAGAAAGATATCTCGAAAAAGGAACAGAAAACATTAAGTCATATACATTCTTACAATTTTCCGTCCTATAATTGTTGTATAACAGAAATGTATGTTGTTACCTCGTTGTTTCGTAATGCGTTGACCGCAATCATTATGTTTTGATCAGTGATGTCATGTAATGATAAATCGAGCGTCGATAAATCTCCGTTTTCAGCAATAATTTCTTCCAGGTCGACCTGGTTATCGGAAGAGTCGTAGTTTGATTCTTGTTGTTTTTGCCGCTCTGGTTCTATAATGTATATATGAGTAAGAATTTCTTGCTGACACAGAGAGAGAGAGAGACAAGTTAGGAACGGATAGTAGGAGTAGAAGGATAACAAATCCAATTGTTTCTCAGTGAAACTTATTCGAACCGGGATAGATTTTGAACATTAAACCACGTATATCCTCTATCAACTTTGAATAAAAGTTCCAAAAATTCCATTAGATAAATATTTGTATATTGTTGTGTTGAAAAATAGCAGGCAATTTGCTTATCTATTCAAAGCTGAGTGAAAGAAAAACATTTGATAGAATGAAGCAAGTTTTTTCCTATGTATTCCTATCTGTTTCTTGAATATCGGATACAGCTATTCGTTCATTGCTCATGTCTCTTTACTGAAAGTTTCTACACCATTATTGGACTCAGCAACATCCTTTGCCTTTTAAATAACGTTTTTTATATATAAAGTCCTTACGCACAGTGACAATTAAATGTTTTGTAGAACTCACAGGTATTTTCGAAAAAAATATAGTGAGTAGAAGTTTAAATCGAGATATTTGCGGCTTCGCTCTTCAAGTCATAGCAAGGGGAGAGGCCAACGACAATTGGGTACGTTACCCTAGAAACGAGGAAAGGCATTGCAATAATAACAATAGTTAACTTATTCTGAAATTTCTTAGGATCTTTCAAAGCATTCTATGAATCTAGAGTTTCTACTATAGATTATAACTACTAGTACTGATATTCTGAGTTTTGGTATTTAATGTGACAAAGGATCTTATTGTCGGTGTGAATCAGTGCAGTGATGATATAATTGATCTAGCAGAGTCAGAATAGAACGGATATAGAAAAGTACGAATTAATTGAGTTCTAGATTTATGCAAAACTCAACAGTATATGTCAAATTTTGTCGAGAGAAAAAACGATGTGCTCGAAAGCTTACTGAATGATTAAATCGGTATATATATATATATAAGCAGGCTAATATGATGGTTGAACTAACGAAATGAAGAGTAAAATGATATTTGGCACTTCTTATGACATGTATCATCTATATTATCATTAATAGAAAAGACGTTATTTATTGAAGATGTATCTGACAAAACAAATAACTTTCTTCCAATATAACGATGCTAAATGAATCTAATAAATCGTTCTAAGTACAAACATTTTCGAAATGCTAAAATTTCAGAGAGCGTGCATAGCAACTATAAAAATTGTTATCAGTTTGATTTATTTATTCATTTGGCATTTTTTTGACATAAATTATTTTAATATGTCAGACAATATACCATAAATGGATAACAATTACAGTTTATGAGTTTCGTAGTTTGATTTCTCATAAAGTTGTACTGAAAGGTTTTTTAATAGTTCTACCATTCGATCTCTTCAAGGTTTCACATAACTTTCAACTCTTTTCACTTCTATGGCATCCTCTAGAGAATAGCTGAGAATATTTTTAGCATCAACAAAAGGGAAATCAAAAACAATGATATTGTTGAGCTGAAAAAAGCACAGTTGTAGGCAAAAGTACTGTCACCAACTAAAAACTATCTCAGAATGAACAGTTTGCCTTCATACTCTTACTATAACTACTAGACGTTGATACTCATTGGTTGCTAACATTAAATTATGGTCTATTGACTTTGTAATAATTGATAAAAAATAACAATACTCTGATTTTATATATTTGATTTTATATTCTCAAGATGGAATTAAGATAGAAATCAAAACTTATTAATGTATTTGTAGGATTATCCAATACTTTTAGCCCAATCCCTATGGGAGTAAAATATACGACACAATGAAAAAAATTGACTTGAAAGAAAAGCTGTCCTGTCATTTTCGTTGTCATCTGACGTTAAGTCAACGATGAATCAGTGCTAAATGTCTGCGATTAAGACTAGTATACTGTATTGCCGGAGAAAAAAATAGATCTGGTAGATCGCGATATTTCATATCGATTCAAAATCCGAAATTCCATATGCTAGAGAGCCGAAAATACAAGATCTAAAATCCCATGGATCAAAAAACAATAATAACATATCTGACACAAGCTAACAACGACAATAGAACGGATCTAAAACTGATAGACTGAATTTTTTAACTTGTCAATTTCAAATTCTTTCTCAATGCAACAAATGTTTGAAATCTATCATAAAAGTTTCAAAGGAGACTACAAATCCAATAAAAACGTTAACGAAAAGTGGAAACACGAAGAAAACTCAAAATCCAGGAACAAATCCCTAAATCCAAAAAATCTCATGGTTACGTGTATCATATCGAAATATCTTTGCGATAACGTTGAATATACTCTACAGGGGCACAGACATGAATACGATGGTCAAAAAAGAGTTATTTGTTGTGGATGCATACACTAAAGAAAAAGACGCCATCGCTTTAAAAAAATGTGTTTCAGACAGATAGACAAAAAGAGTTGATTACTGTTTCTAGACTCTATACTCACTCTAGCAAAACACAAACAGAAAAATGAAATTGCACAAAAGAATGTATTAGGTAAAATTAAAAGAAAAAGGATTATTTAGTGCAGAAAGGTATTGACAGACACACAAAAACAAATGAATTTTTTATCGTTTTCAAGATCTGAGCCTTTCAATCTAGTGAAAAACCATCTAAAAGACCTTTATAGAACAAAATTTTCATGAAGTAAATAGTCTTTACTATGATGAACTTCAGTAAACATCCATTTCTTTGACTCTGCCAATATCTAACGCCTGCCCCACATTTTTTGATAACGTGTTTGCACAAAAACAAAGCTTTTATTAATACAATTCTTCCTAGACCAATATGTTATGCGCTTGGAAAACATTGAGAGAGTAAGTAACAAATCCCGCTAGCCGTGGGTGAGTGTGTGGTGTGAGTATGGATGGATGGAAGTCTGTGTTGATGAAAAGAATAACTATATCCATCCATACACCCACACTTGATCTATCTTGAATATAGTAGAGTTGAGCAAAAATTCGTTCGTTTCTACGATTGAATCAATGAAATAACTTTTGATAGATGAAGAATTCTCGCATGTTCACATATTCTAAACAAGTATAGACTAATACGACATTAACTGATTCTCTTCATTGACATTAAACAATGAGAAAAAAAAAATGAACATATAGAAGTTGATCATTTAATCGTTTAGTTCAGTTGACTAATTTGGTCCCAAAGTGACATATTGGATGTATGTTTAAGTCTAACGTACTTTCGAACACTTCTATTGTTTAGACCTGTTCAAACTCGGCTACTACAAAAGACTATGACTCATCTCATGCAGCGCTATGAATGATCTAGAAGAAACAAATAGAATGAGAGTTGTCAGTTAAGTATTCAGGACGTAGAATGTGGACTACATATGATTTCGGACTAGTTATGTATTAGGACTTTTCGACAAAAATATTAGAAAAGACGCATCGTCACTACTAGAATAATGACTACTCTTTTTTATCTATCTTTTCCTCACCTAAGTTCGTAAGAAAGTCAAGCAATTCTTGTTTTGAACTCTTTTCCGATGAAGATGATCCATATTGAAGATACCAAATGAGAAAAATACATTTGCCAAGCCAATAGAATACGAAGGAATCACACAGAGGTTGCCAGACATATTCGATGCAACCGAGTGTTGAATAAATAATCCAATAGATTAACAGGTGTCTTTGATTGGACGTCTCCGATAATGGAATCGCCATTGACCTGATAAAAAAAAATTCAAACAATTCAACTCATGTCATGTATATGTATTGGAGAAAATTTGTAAGCAAATACAGATCAAAATTACTTGTCATTATAACCAGATTTCGGTGATGGATTATTCAATGAGATCTCTACCACAAAACATGCAAAGGACACCCAATCGAGTAAAATTTTTAAACTTTATAGAGTTCTTTCGTTGATCTTTCTCGTAAACACAATATTCACTCCTCAATGTAAAATAGGTGAACAAAACCCAAAATACAAAGCATGGCTCACAGTAGTTTTTTTTTTTGAAGAAAATATATTGTCACTTCGTAGTTTGACTATTTTTTGACTCGAAACTACTGGCATCAAAATTTTAACATCAGATTCCGATGGATCATAATTCATTCTTGCAAATGATATCAACAAGTTTAAATATCGAATTGGTTGATATATATATTAGATATAGCTGAAGATGCAGTATATAGTGTTCTGTCTCATTCTGTTCGCGTGTTTGTTTCTGGTCTTAGAAATTAGTTAAAAGCCAAAAGTTGACGATTTTAAACAGTATTCTTGACGCATCTTGAAGGTAGAATGATTTGTTCTCTCTTATTTTCAGTTCGAATCAACAATTTGACATCAAATGCATGTTCAGCATTAAAAAAACCGAATCGATTGTTATATACTGGAACTTTCTGAAGGATGAACAATAACATGGTATGGACATGTGACTAAAGGATATTTCGATAATTGATCACTTTTCAACCTTTTTCTTTTTATCAAGATTGCTATCTGATTAGATTCAAGAGATAGTCATCAATAGAATGGGCTCTATTCATTTTTAGAAATCGAAAAAGAATTTTTCGGTCATCAGATTCTTGGAGAAAGAATATAAAAATAACCCGAAACATTTTATAGTCAACCAGTTTAATTCAACTTCAGTCTGGTTGTGGGTATTATTCTTCTTTGCAATCATATCCATACTGTCAAGACATTTTTTCGAAAGAGAAACGTCATTTTTACTCAGAGTTGGATGTTCCTTTTGAAAACGTAATGCTTGTTTGAAAATATCTCAGGCAAAAAGTAACCTTATCATAGCTTGAACTCTTGTTCCTTATTTCGTTATCTTAGATCAGGAGACTGTTTCAAACTGATCATTATGAGAAAGTATTCAAAATTATCGACAATAAGAGCAATATTGAC